TTTTAAAACATTTCAAATATTCTCTGCATTAGTGGAGAAGATAGTATTGCAATCAGGAGAGTCCCTTTCTCTAGACACTTCAGTAGGAAAAGTGGCCTGCTTTTGCATTTTTTAAATAAAAGAAATACTGTTTAATTCAATTTTTCAGAAATTGTTTTAAAAACCTGGTAGTGGTGGTTTGTCAGATGCCAGAATGCCGCATCACTTTATAATATGGAGCAAATGTTAAATTGGCTATCAAACTATATAATATCATTTTTCAGACACTCATATGCTATGGTAATTTTATTCAGTCTTGAGCATTAATTAGAATGAGTTTGAATATAAAGGCATGAATCATCTATTGGAAACAGAAATAGCCCTTCCAGATTTGATTTTCAAGTGGTGACCATCACAGATTGGAGCGGGGTCAACGAATCAGGCACAGAGTGTCTGGCTAAGGTCTAGCTAAACATCGCTGAGCCTTAAGGCTACTTTCCCCTTGATTTCTACTTCCTCAGTAACACTGCAATTTCTTCATAATATAATGTCCAAAGTACTGGTGGATCTCATACATATTTTCATCTGCAACCTATACAGAAAGTACAGAGCAGACAACTCTGAGGAATGCTTTGCACAATTCTACTCTATGATATGTGAGGTGGTTGTATATGGTGTCTGGAAACCAAGCCTTATGAGGAGCGGTTGAAGGAGCTGGGTATGTTCAGCTTGGAAAAGAGAAGACTGAGAGGAGATATGATAGCCATCTTCAAATATCTCAAGGGCTGCCACATGGAAGAGAGGGACAAGCTTGTTTTCTCCTGCTCTGGAGGGTAGGACACGAACCAATGGCTTCAAGTTACAAGAAAGGAGATTCCGACTAAACATCAAGAAGAACTTTCTGACAGTAAGAGCTGTTTGACAGTGGAATGGACTCTTTCGGAAAGTTGTGGACTCTCCTTCCTTGGAGGTTTTTAAGCAGAGGTTGGGTGGCCACCTGTCTTGGATGCTTTAGTTGAGATTCCTGCATTGCAGGGGGTTGGACTAGATTACACTCGGCGTCCCTTCCAATTCTACAATTCTATGATTTTACATGGGATGTATTTTTGCACAAAGTACACAGCAGAAACACACTGCAGGAAGCCATGACCATACATGATCCCCCAATGTGCATTTCCTAAGTATGTGATTGATTACAGGCTAAGAAACAGCTGTGGGCTAAATACTGAACTGTATACATGTTGAATTGAAGCAACTCTAACCGAAGGTGAGGGCAATGACAGAATCAGTCTTTCTGTTATGCTGTTGAGGGTTCACATCTTAGATACAACTGAGACAGGGATGGAGTATCTCTGATCAGCAGATTTTGGAGGACTACAACTCCCATATTCACTGCCCATTGGCCATGCTGGCCGGGACTGATGGGACTTGGAACCCACCAACATCTAAGCAGGTGAGTGTTACCATAAATGTTAATGTTTGCCCAATGCGTCAACAGTGAAGCCAGAAGAATCTGTACTTGGATCTTCCAGAACATGTGAGAGGGATAGCTCAATTGGGAGAGCGTGAGGCTTTTAATATGAGGGTCAGGGGTTGAAGCCTCACATTGGACAAAAGGTTCCTGTATTGCTGGGGTTGGACTAGATGACCCTGGTGGTCCCTTCCAGTTCTATGATTCAAACCCATTACTTTAGCTGCTAGATTGTGCTGACTTTGCCAGTCAATTTGTATTGCAAGACTGGCTTTCTAGCAGTCCTGGGAACTATAATGCAGAACCTAAATATCCTTGATTCTTCGCACTTGTTTTTATTGGTCAGGAAAGGAAGTTAAGATGGCTGAATCTCATGGTATTTTCTTGGTTTTGTGTTGGAAGCTGACTCGAGGCTAAAGTGCTAAGTTGGGATATGGGTAGCTGTTTAGAAAAGCAAACTGAAAGCCGCACAAAACAGAGATGGATATGGCTTAATTCACAGAAAGACGGACACTTCTTGATGGCTTAAGCGTGGAGCACAGGAAAGATCTGGAAATACTTGTGTTCCATCGTGCCTTTAAAAACAATGGTGTAAGAGGAAGAGATGGCTGGTAAATTCTGCATCCGATTGCTGAACTCCAGGAACATCCCTGGTTTGTCACGCGCATTGCTACTGCAGATTGCATCCTCCATGGCAGCACAATATTATACCCTTTTAAAAGGTAAAGGGACCCCTGACCATTAGGTCCAGTTGTGGACGACTCTGGGGTTGCGGCGCTCATCTAGCTTTATTGGCCAAGGAAGCCGGCGTACAGCTTCCGGGTCATGTGGCCAGCATGACTAAGCCGCTTCTGGCGAACCAGAGCAGCGCACGGAAACACCGTTTACCTTTCCGCTGGAGAGGTACCTATTTATCTACTTGCACTTTGACGTGCTTTCGAACTGCTAGGTTGGCAGGAACAGGGACTGAGCAACGGGAGCTCACCCCGTTGCGGGGATTCAAACTGCCGACCTTCTGATCAGCAAGCCCTAGGCTCTGTGGTTTAACCCACAGCACCACCCACACCCCATATTATACCCTTTGCAGGTATATCTTTACAGGTATGATACCCTTTTAAATACCTGTAAATATCCAGCAGCAGTTCTGTGCCCCAGCTGCAGGAGAATGAACACTAAAGGCATGACACAGATCATGCTGGGATTTAGAACAACAACTGCTGTCCTCCTGGCCAGAAATATCTTACCAGTACGGTGTCTTTACCTCTAATGCCTTTCTAGCTCTCCCTCCTTTTTAATTTGAAGAGGGAGGAACTGATGTCACTAATGGGTTATTGCCTAGCCTGCAATCACTAGAGTTTGTGTACCTGTGGAGAGAAGTAAAGGTACCCTCAAATAGTAAGTAAACCCCCTGAAAGGTGAGGCTGCAATTCCAGCGTACAAAGAGGTTAAGGAGTTTGGGCTTATTATATGTTCTGGCAGCAAGCAATATGTTGTGGGTTTTTTGTTGTTGTTGAATTGTGACTCACTCTCCACAGAGCAACAGCTGAGCTGGATCCAATGAAGCTGAGTGTTGGAAGATTCAGACCAGGAAAAAATAAAAAATAAAGTACTTCTTCACACAGCACAAGGAAAACCAAGAAATTTGCTCGCACAAGATATAGTTACATCCGCCAACTTGGATGGTTTTAAAAGAGGATTAGACAAATTCGTGGAGGATAAGGCTACCATCTCTGATGGCTACATTTTATCTCCACTGTGGGAGGCAGTGAGGTTTAAAGACTGTCTCAAGGCAAATTTTAAAAAAATGTAGTATAAACACCAAGAATTGCGTGGACAGGCGGAGTCCCCAGATCCCGAGCGGTCCCCCCCGTTGCCTGCGAGCGCTCCAATTGGAGAACAGCCTTTACCAAAGGTGTCATGGGCTTTGAAGACACTTAAACTCAGGACGAAAGGGAGAAACATGCTAAGAGGAAGGCACGCTTGGCAAATCCACACCGTGATCAACTTCCACCCGGAAACCAATGTCCCCACTGTGGAAGGACATGTGGATCCAGAATTGGCCTCCACAGTCACTTACGGACTCACTGTTAAAACCGTGTTTATCTTACTCTGCTACGAATGATAACCAAAGAAGTATCTGAATGCCTGTTGCTGGGAAGTATAAGTGAGGAGAGAACTCTTGTGCTCAGGTTTTGCTGCTGGGCTTCCTGTTAGCATCTGGTTGAACTACTGTGAGAACAGGATGCTAAACTAGATGGACTTTTGCCTTCCCATAAATATAACAATGTTAGTGGCAATATTAAAACCATATCTGGTAGAGAATTTTCCTTCTTCTCTTCTTTCACTCTGAAAAAGAAGTCGCCTACTTCAGTTGCCACATGGTAGTTACAGGGTGATGCATGGGCCCGAGGAAAGTTCTTAAGTACCCTCACCATGATAATCCATCCCCAATGAGAGACCAGCATGAGTATACTAGAATCATAGAATCGTAGAATTGGAAGGGACCCCAAGGGTCATCTAGTCCAACCCCCTGCAATGCAGGAATCTCAGCTAAAGCATCCATGACAGAGAATCTTTAAAGGCCTAGTAGGAGTCTTTACAGGCCTAACTTGGTACAAGAAGTAAAACAATTGTTCCTGGGAGCACTGAAAAGAATGTCATAAATACAAAAATCTTGAACACATGTCCCTCCCTTTTTGAAACTGGCCTTTTTTTATTGTGTTCCAAGAAATGGTGGCTACAATGTCTCTCACTCCTACAACCCCTTCAGATAAGTTGAAACCATACAGGCACCAGAGTAAGGTCATTTCACACATCACTTTCCTCAGGTGCGCACTAAAGGTAAAGGTGCGCACTAAGATGTTCTAAAGATCCCTTTCCTAACCTCATGCCCTCTGAATATTTTGGAACACAACTCCCATCATTTTGGGCATTGGCCTTGCTGGCTGGGCTGGGTCTGGTGGGAATTGGAATGTGAAACAGCTGGAGGTCACCAGGTCAGGAGCAGCAGTTTTAAAGTGTATCCCTAAAAATGCATGAACACTGTGCAAGCAAAAAGCCCCGAACAAAACAAGTTTGCAAAGCTAGCATCATGATAGGGAACCAGGACTCCTTGCAACTCCCTGTTGAGAGTCTTTTCAGTGGCAAAAGTTTTGCTCCTCCATATTCTTCAAAGCGGCCAGCAGTAAACTGGTGGTGGGAACAGACTAGGTAGATTTTTTTTTGCAGGGGCAAAATTTCAGAAGCTGGTTTAATGAAGCCATTGGTTAAAAACAGACGCTGCGAATTCCCCCCTTACCCAAATATCACCGAAAGCTTCATCTCCGCCCTCCAAAAGCTTGGGGAGAGATGGAGTTTTGCTGTCTGAAGGAGGAAGGCGTCCTCGGACTCAATGAGCGCTGAAGGTCTGGGCGGGCTCGTTGGCCGGCGTGCTGCCCTGCTGGGGCAGATTAAGGCGCAAAGGGAGAGAGGGAGGAAGGCGCGCTTGGTGGCAGGAAGGAGAGCGCAGACTGACGAGACTGTTGCGCCCGCTGCCGCCGCCGCCGCTGCCACAATAAAGCAAAACGCACGCGCAACGCGTCGGTTCCCTGCCTCCCGCTTGGAGCTGTCCAACGCTGCTGGTGCTGAAACAGCGCGCGGACCCAACCCCTGCGCCCAGTGACCAGAGTCAAAGAGGGAAGCCGGTCCGAATCGCCACTGTTCCGTGCAACGGGCGCCAGCAAGGCTGTGAGTTTCCAGAGAAGCGAAGTGAAGCGTTCCTGTTTAAAAAAGACTCCCGTCGCAGAAAAGGACTCGGAGCTGCCTTCATAGGACCAGCGTGGGAAAGCGCCCCTCGGGATGGATCTGACCGGACGCGCTCCCTTAGGGAGAGCTTGAAAGCTGCCCTTGGATATTTTTAATATTATTATTGTTATTATTATTAATCTCGCGGTTTCCCCACTTTGGTTTTGTTTCTCCTCTTTCTTCCTCGTTTCGAAGAGGCCATGTCCCCGCAGTCTGCGCACACCAAGAAAGAGCAGGTAGGAAACTTGGTAACTTTTCTGCAAAGTAGCCGCGAGGGTGCATGAGCGTAAGGGAAACGGGACTTCCCTGCTTGCTGGTGGAAGGCGTTAAATTGAGGGGCTCCGCTGTATTGCAAAAAACGGTGTGTGTGTGTCGGAAATCCCAAGAGCGACAGGGTAGTAGACTGGGGGCATCAAAGACGCTCCTGTGCTTTTTTTTATCTCAAAGAGAGGAGCACCATCTAGTTCACAGCGTAACTATTATTATACAAACAGAGAAGGATATAGAACGCCCCGGAATCTTTATTTATTTTCAGTGCTAGAGGTCAGATTTGAGACATCTGGAAGAAAACGGTGCCGTTGAACACGGGCAAAGGGCTGGCATAGCGTAGAAGGGCTTCTGTGACTCCGTGGTGCTTTTTTTAAATTTTAGAAAGTAAACATTGGGGGCAAGTCTCTCCAACTATACCGAGTCCTTTTCCAGGCAAGGAGAGCATCTAAGCCCATACCTTGAAGGTGGCCAGAAATGTGCGCGGAACAAGCCAATTGCCTGACATTTTGATCCCTGTAAAGACCTTAACAGGATAGCAAAAGCCTAGAGCTGCTTTTCCTTTTAGCCGGTCTTACTCTTAGTCTCTCTCTGTAATCTTAATGCGCCAGGCACTGGGCTTGTCATGCAGAGCCCCGCTCTTCCTCGGCCTCCTATGTTGCTCCGGGAAGCGGGTCGCTCCATTGCCACCCCTCCCTTCTCTCAGAGTTTAGCCTGGAATGGGGCTTGCTTCTAGCCTCCCGTTTGCTTTGGAGAACATTCCAGGCTAAACAGATTCTCTTGCTAATTGTGCATGTGCCGCTGAAACGCATTTTTTTCCTGAGAATGCCTCTCTCATGTTACTTTTGGTTGACACTGGTTCCCTTTTGCATAAAGATTCACTGTAAAGTTTTGCTGAGAACAGAATTCAGGCAGAGGCAGTTCTGATGGGAAGGTTGCAGTGAATGGAGTTGGAAGGGTTAACCCTTCCTTCTTTAGCTGGGCCTCCACTCCGCAACCAAAATCCTCCCAATGCACGACAATTAGGCTTTTAAAATGCCCGAATGACTCTAATTGAAACTTAACCAAGAAAAAACCTCCAAAAAACAAACCAAATTATTTTCTGGGAAGGGGAAGACAAGATGAGAAGACTATCTGGGTCAAATGGGGAGCTATTGAGGATTGCTGGTCAGATTGGTCTACCGGCATTAAGGCAGGTAAAATGAATGGCAGGAGAATTTAGTCTTCTTAAGAAACAAGTGTGGCACAAAGAATATTGTGGAGTTTGCAAAACTGCTTGGAGTGTCTGTGTTTTTTCTTCTGTAGCTGTCCATGTTGACTTCCCCCAAAATGCATGTCTTCCTGCAATGTTTTCGCCCACTACCTTACAGATAGCTATTTTAGAAGTGCATGGGGAAAAGTAAAATGATGGTTTTTCAGGAATGGGGATTTCATTTCCCCCCTGGATGCAGAATGTAATGCAGAGATGGGGAACTTGTGGTCTTCCAGATGTTGCTGGACTTATGTCAGTCCCAGCCAGCATGGCCAATGCCCATGTCTGTGAGTTCTGTTACATTCTGTCATTGTACAGTGGTACCTCAGGTTACATACGCTTCATGTTACAGACTCTGCTAACCCAGAAATAGTACCTCTGTTCAGGATGAGAACAGAAATCATGCACTGGTGGTGTGGCGGCAGTGGGAGGCCCCATTAGCTAAAGTGGTGCTTCAGGTTAAGAACAGTTTCAGGTTAAGAACAGCCCTCTGGAATGAATTAAGTACTTAACCCGAGGTACCACTGTATAAGAAATTAAAGCCAAGGCAATGCTATTCCAATGAAGGAGCAGAGCATCGCAAAATAAGGGCTAATCCCATTCGCCATGGTTTCCATTGAGTTCTGTGGAACAAAAAAGCAGCAGGGACATAATGGAAGAGAAGCAAAGCATTGTCCCAGGCAGTCTTGCCAGCAATATACTGGCCCTTTCTACAGTTGTCCCACCTGTCGACAGGCCAAACCTTTCAATATGTATATATCTAAAGGTCTGTTGTTTTTGAACTAGGAGTGAGGCTGTGGAAAGTGTCTGTGGCAGCCTTGAGAGGGCATTACTCTCACCCATCATTGATGCCCATGTCTTAGGAAGATGGCGGTGGCTTGGGTGAGGGTTGTGAGATGAGGAGACAGAGAAATGGCTCTGGACTCCATCCTAGGTATCACAATTGTCATATTGACCATGTTTGGTTGAGGAAAGACACTTTTCACCTGTCTTTCTGACATGAATAGTGGCAATAGCAGTTCCACCAATTCGTTTCATTGCCATTCACTGAAGATACTGCCCACATCAGCAGTTGTGGTACCCATCCTGTTTTGGGGGGAACAGAGTTGGTTGCTGCCAATGGAGCTCTGAGGTGGGAGCTGAAAGCCAGCCTGCTTTGAACTGAGTAGGAGGCGGGCAGATTTTCCTTCTTGCTTCCTCCCTCTCCCCATCCCCTTGGGCTTGACCTGGAGTGAAGGTGGGTTGAAGGTGGGTTGTCATGACCAGCCTGACTCCACAGTATGCAGAATGCCAGAGAAGGCTGAGAATGAATGTCTCTGGCTGATGTGCCTTTGTCACCCTTTGGGAATTCTCGCATTACACACTTAAGGTTTAGGAAATACAACTAAAGATTTAGGGGACGGGCATGCCTTTATTCCAAAAGCAGATGACGTGACTCTAAATAGCCTTCCCTCTTCCTGACTAGACGGTGGGAGGCAACAAAAATGCACAAGTGTGCTTAGAACAGGCTTCCAAAAGTGCCCAATAATAGTTTTTGTATGTGTAATAAAAAACCCTACTCTTTTGCAATGCTCTCTCTTTGACTAGAGAGAGGATAGCTGCATAAAAGAAATGAAAGGGCACACCAGAGTTGGGGAACTTGTGGTCTTCCAGATATTTTCAGACCCTCAGCTCCCATCAGCATAGCCAGGGGTCAGGAATGATGGGAGTTGTAGTCAAGCGACACCTGGGGGACCAAAGCAGGGGCAGACTTCGGCCTCTCAAATTCCAGCAGTGCCCTGTATAAGGGCAAAATTGGTCACCTCCACCTCTTGCCTTCCGTTCTGCTCAATTCACTATGTCATGGTTCCGATGCCCTGCAGTGCCCCTAGGCTCAGCGCCCAGTGTGGCAGAACCAGTCGCGCTGCCCTAAATCTGCCTCTGACCAAAGCTTCCTCACTCTGCTTCCCCACGCAATGGCCAACCATAGTCCCAGGTAATCTTCAATTCTTTCATATACTATGATCTGTCTCCAGCCGATGTTGCTAATTTGAGCCACTTTGTCAATATGTGAAAAAAGACAACTCTCTTCATTTTTGTCTGACGTTGAGATGCTTTATGGTGTCATTTCCTTAGTGTTACTGATGCTTGGAGATTCAGGGACAGTTCCCATGCTCTTTGTGCACATTCTTTTTCAGCGTAGGTTCTCAGCCACAGTTTGGGAGTAGTTGGCAACAAATACAGGCTTGGGTTCGAGATTGCCACCACGTTGCTGATGGGAAATAGTGGTCTCTGCTGATGGAAAACAAGTCACATCACTGGTTCACATTCCACGCTTTGCATCCAGGCAGGAAAAAAAATGGTTCTTCCATGCATGTGAGAAGCATATGAACTTAGAAAGCTCACATATCTATTCCAGCCTTTCCAATATCTAATTTCTGTAACGAGAGCTTCCCAAACTCATAACACTAGCCTAAAAGTCATAGGGTTGTAAGTGACTACCGGTAAATCTTCTCAGAGCAGAAATGTTGAAACCAGTGGACTTGAATTTGTTGTGACAAACATTAAGTCCATTGATTTTGGTGGACACCTGAGTATAATTTAGTGGACATAACCCATGCCATCTGAACTCAATGCCCTTACTTCAGATTCTGATGGCTAGTTGTGTGAAGAAAAGACAGTCCATGCGTGCTTGAAATCACTCTCTTCTTTATTATTGCTCCATAGGAATTAGCATACACCTTGGAATTAAAGCTAGGTTAAATCAAAGTCACATACATATTGTATTATTCTGAACAGTGTTGGTAATTGTGGAACTGAATTTGTACTAGTGCCAGTGAGAAATGAATCCCACTTAGGCCCTTGTGGTCTGCAATTAAAAGCAAAATATGTTCTACCTTTTTTCATCCCATGATAGACAAAACTGCCAAGCGAGTTTTCACATTTAAGGCTGCAATCCTATATCTACTCTTCTGGGAGTAAACACCACTGAACTCTATGGAACTTACTTCTGAGTAGAAATGTATAGGAGTGTCCTAGCATCAGTATGGCAGTATTCTACTGATCCATAACACCTTGCCGATAGTGTGCCAGATAATATTTCACACCTGTGCAAATGGTACACTCCTCTTTCTGTAGTGTGGAAGAGGCCACACTCTTAAGGGAAAAGAACCATACATTTTGCTTCACTATAGTAAAACTAAAAGATGATCAGCAGGCTATCTTTAAGCTTTTGATAAGATTCCAAGGAACCCTAAGTTTCTCTGGGAAATGGCTGGTGCAGAAGGTTAGCACAAACCCGTGCTAACTTGCTGACTTTTAAGTTCTGCTGCACAGAAAAAAGCTCCTCATGATTTCCCTATTCCTCTTCACAAGCCAGTGGGAAAAATGCTTTTTTCTCTGTGTGATCCTGGGATTCTCGGTGTGATCCATGAGACATGGGAACTACGACAACCTTGTAGTAAACAGGCTGCAAAAAGGGAGCTCATTATTTCTAGAAATTGCTCGCGGCCAGACACATCTGCTGTGACTGAAAACCCACAATCTATCATTTCTTATTGGTAGAAGTGTTTGCCCTGTCCTATCCTGTCCTAGTTTTTCCAGAGAGATTGTGAGTCCAATCCACCTGAGGAAGATCATCCTTTCCTATATATGAGGATCGCAACATTTAGACTGCAGCCTCATAGCACCTTATCGACAGCAAGTCCCTTTGAAAACAGTGGGGCTTATTTTTGAGCA